CACATTATACCTGTGATTTGTTTATGGTGAAGAATATATGCTACCTTTCACATTATACCTGTAATTACTTTTAGAGTTAAGGTTGTATGCTACCTTACACATTATTACCTGTGATTCGCATTAAAAACAATCCTTCACCCTCTCAATTCTCCGTCCCTTTTCAAGGGATTCCTCTATGTCGTCATTCCCAGGACTTACACACATCCCAAACCTCTGGATTCCTTGTCTCCATTCTGGAGGTTTCCCACAATTGTCAATCCATTGATTCTTTCCCTTTGTAAATAAAATTCCAAGGTTATTCATTTGGAAAACATGCAAAAGATTATCCTTTACAACCAAGATTAGTTTTTACTCAAAGTAAACAATATTTTGATCATAAAATATTCTTGATTTGAACCTTACAGCTGTAAGGATTAACCCTTTCACCCCTAAGGTCATATTTGAACCTTACCAAATCAAAGACTGGGTAAGTCCAGTTTAAATACGAAGGGGTAAATGAGGAAGAGTACAGATGACAACCTAACCTCACCAACTCCAGCTATACTGGGAGACAATCCATAACGTTCAATGCTTGCTATCATTTCTTGCCTGAAGGCCTCCCAAAATAAGACCAATTTCTGACAATTGATGCCTTTGAAAACCAACATTGAAAAGCTCATAAGTCTTTGTAAAGTAATCTTTGGATTTATACCTAGAAGGCAATTCGTGTATGGCAGAAATAGGACGAGTTATTGTGTTTCACAGTGTAGACCTCCCGATAAAAATTACACGGAATTAAGAAACATGACTCCAGTACCAACAGCTGACATTTATGAATATATAAACAAAAACAACAGGGAGTAGACACAAGATTAAGACAGCCTGTGAGACTGGATTTATTGTCCTCCAGAGATAGAAGAGTTCTGCTTATCACATTTTACCATTTTTGATATCAAATATATTTTTGTTCCCCTGGGTCCACTAAATATCAGCTAACTTGGTTGCAGGGAAGCGTTTATTTGATGTGGGAATGATAATTTTCATGATTTACGGAATAACAAAGTACACAAGATGGCTAGCAGATGGGCGGTCTTCATCTCCAACACATTCCGTCATACCTTCTGCTGATAAAACATACATCAGTTTAAACATTTATAAAGAGAAACAATAAAGGTTAAAACATCCATCTGTCTTTGAGGGTATTTGACCACGCTTTGTTCAATTTGATTTACATACAAATGTGTGTCTTAAAATTTACGATTATTGCAACGTTAGGCATTATTATAAAGGATGTGGTATAATGTACAGTAAATTGGGGGCCTACAATACAAAGCAACTGTTTCCCTGAGGTAAGAGGTGGAAAGAAAGCCTAGTGGTACGGAAAAGAGGTGAGGAAGAGTTGGGACTAGGGGTACAGAATAGAGGTGAGGAGGAGTTAGGACTAGGGGTACAGAATAGAGGTGAGGAGGAGTTAGGACTAGGGGTACAGAATAGAGGTGAGGAGGAGTTAGGACTAGGGGTACAGAATAGAGGTGAGGAGGAGTTAGGACTAGGGGTACAGAATAGAGGTGAGGAGGAGTTAGGACTAGGGGTACAGAATAGAGGTGAGGAGGAGTTAGGACTAGGGGTACAGAATAGAGGTGAGGAGGAGTTAGGACTAGGGGTACAGAATAGAGGTGAGGAGGAGTTAGGACTAGGGGTATGGAATAGAGGTGAGGACGAGTTAGGACTAGGGGTACATGATAGAGGTGAGGAGGAGTTAGGACTAGGGGTACAGAATAGAGGTGAGGAGGAGTTAGGACTAGGGGTACGGAATAGAGGTGAGGAGGAGTTAGGACTAGGGGTACAGAATAGAGGTGAGGAGGAGTTAGGACTAGGGGTACGGAATAGAGGTGAGGAGGAGTTAGGACTAGGGGTACGGAATAGAGGTTAGGACGAGTTGGGACTAGGGGTACGAAATAGAGGTGAGGAAGAGTTAGGACAAGGGGTACGGAATAGAGGTGAGGAGGAGTTAGGACTAGGGATACCGAATGGAGGTGAGGAGGAGTTAGGACTAGGGGTACATAATAGAGGTGAGGAGGAGTTAGGACTATGGGTATGGAAAAGAGGTGAGGAAGAGTTAAGACTAGGGGTACGGAATAGAGATGAAGGGGTTAGGACTAGGGGTACATAATAGAGGTGAGGAGGAATTAGGACTAGGGGTACATGATAGAGGTAAGGAGGAGTTGGGACTAGGGGTACAGAATAGAGGTGAGCAGGAGTTGGGACTAGAGGTGTGGAATAGAGGTGAGGAGGAGTTGGGACAAGGGGTACATAATAGAGGTGAGGAGGAGTTGGGACTAGGGGTACGAAATAGAGGTTAGGAGGAGTTAGGACTAGGGGTACGGAATAGAGGTTAGGACGAGTTGGGCCTAGGGGTACGAAATAGAGGTTAGGAGGAGTTAGGACTAGGGGTACGGAATAGAGGTGAGGGGGAGTTAGGACTAGGGGTACGGAATAGAGGTTAGGAGGAGTTAGGACTAGGGGTACGGAATAGAGGTTAGGACGAGTTGGGACTAGGGGTATGAAATAGAGGTTAGGAGGAGTTAGGACTAGGAGGACGGAATAGAGGTGAGGAGGAGTTAGGACTAGGGATACCGAATGGAGGAGAGGAGGAGTTAGGACTAGGGGTACATAATAGAGGTGAGGAGGAGTTAGGACTATGGGTATGGAAAAGAGGTGAGGAAGAGTTAAGACTAGGGGTACGGAATAGAGATGAAGGGGTTAGGACTAGGGGTACATAATAGAGGTGAGGAGGAGTTGGGACTAGGGGTACGGAATAGAGGTTAGGAGGAGTTAGGACTAGGGGTACGGAATAGAGGTGAGGGGGAGTTAGGACTAGGGGTACGGAATAGAGGTTAGGACGAGTTGGGACTAGGGGTATGAAATAGAGGTTAGGAGGAGTTCGGACTAGGAGTACGGAATAGAGGTGAGGAGGAGTTAGGACTAGGAATACGGAACAGAGGTGAGGAGGAGTTAGGACTAGGGGTACGGAATTGAGGTGAGGAGGAGTTAGGACTAGGGGTACGGAACAGAGGTGAGGAGGAGTTAGGACTAGGGGTACGGAGTAGAGGTTAGGACGAGTTGGGACTAGGGGTACGAAATAGAGGTGAGGAGGAGTTAGGACTAGGAGTACGGAATAGAGGTGAGGAGGAGCTAGGACTAGGGGTATGGAATAGAGGTGAGGAGGAGTTAGGACTAGGGGTCCGGAGTAGAGGTTAGGACGAGTTGGGACTAGGGGTACGAAATAGAGGTTAGGAGGAGTTAGGACTAGGAGTACGGAATAGAGGTGAGGAGGAGTTAGGACTAGGGGTACGGAATAGAGGTTAGGACGAGTTGGGACTAGGGGTATGAAATAGAGGTTAGGAGGAGTTAGGACTAGGGGTACATAGTAGAGGTGAGGAGGAGTTAGGACCAGGGGTAAGGAAGAGAGGTGAGGAAGAGTTAGGACTAGGGGTACGGAATTGAGGTGAGGAGGAGTTAGGACTAGGAGTACGGAATAGAGGTGAGGAGGAGTTAAGACTAAGGGTACAGAATAGAGGGGAGGAGGAGTTAGGACTATGGGTATGGAAAAGAGGTGAGGAAGAGTTAGGCCTAGGGGTACGGAATAGAGACGAAGGGGTTAGGACTAGGGGTACATAATAGAGGTGAGGAGGAATTAGGACTAGGGGTACAGAATAGAGGTGAGGAGGAGTTGGGACTAGGGGTACAGAATAGAGGTGAGCAGGAGTTGGGACTAGGGGTGTGGAATAGAGGTGAGGAGGAGTTGGGACAAGGGGTACATAATAGAGGTGAGGAGGAGTTGGGACAAGGGGTTCATAATAGAGGTGAGGAGGAGTTGGGACAAGGGGTTCATAATAGAGGTGAGGAGGAGTTGGGACAAGGGGTTCATAATAGAGGTGAGGAGGAGTTGGGACAAGGGGTTCATAATAGAGGTGAGGAGGAGTTGGGACAAGGGGTACATAATAGAGGTGAGGAGGAGTTGGGACAAGGGGTTCATAATAGAGGTGAGGAGGAGTTGGGACAAGGGGTACATAATAGAGGTGAGGCGGAGTTGGGACAAGAGGTACGCAATAGAGGTGAGGGGGAGTTGGGACTAGGGGTACAGAATAGAGGTGAGCAGGAGTTGGGACTAGGGGTGTGGAATAGAGGTGAGGGGGAGTTGGGACTAGGGGTACAGAATAGAGGTGAGCAGGAGTTGGGACTAGGGGTGTGGAATAGAGGTGAGGAAGAGTTGGGACAAGGGGTACATAATAGAGGTGAGGAGGAGTTAGGACTATGGGTATGGAAAAGAGGTGAGGAAGAGTGAGGCATAGGGGTACGGAATAGAGACGAAGGGGTTAGTACTAGGGGTACATAATAGAGGTGAGGAGGAATTAGGACTAGGGGTACAGAGTTAGGACTAGGGATACCGAATGGAGGTGAGGAGGAGTTAGGACTAGGGGTGCGGAATAGAGGTGAGGAAGAGTTAGGACTAGGGGTATTGAATAGAGGTGAGGAGTAGGTAGGACTAGGGGTATGGAATAGAGGTGAGGAGGAGTGAGGACTAGGGGTACAGAATAGAGGTGAGGAGGAGTGAGGACTAGGGGTACAGAATAGAGGTGAGCAGGAGTTGGGACTAGGGGTGTGGAATAGAGGTGAGGAAGAGTTGGGACAAGGGGTACATAATAGAGGTGAGGAGGAGTTAGGACTATGGGTATGGAAAAGAGGTGAGGAAGAGTTAGGTCTAGGGGTACGGAATAGAGACGAAGGGGTTAGTACTAGGGGTACATAATAGAGGTGAGGAGGAGTTGGGACAAGGGGTACATAATAGAGGTGAGGAGGAATTAGGACTAGGGGTACATAATAGAGGTGAGGAGGAGTTGGGACAAGGGGTTCATAATAGAGGTGAGGAGGAGTTGGGACAAGGGGTTCATAATAGAGGTGAGGAGGAGTTGGGACTAGGGGTGTGGAATAGAGGTGAGGAAGAGTTGGGACAAGGGGTACATAATAGAGGTGAGGAGGAGTTGGGACAAGGGGTACATAATAGAGGTGAGGCGGAGTTGGGACAAGAGGTACGCAATAGAGGTGAGGGGGAGTTGGGACTAGGGGTACCGAATAGAGGTGAGGAGGAGTTGGGACTAGGGGTACGGAATAGAGGTTAGGAGGAGTTAGGACTAGGGGTACGGAATAAAGGTGAGGACTAGGGGTACGGAATAGAGGTGAGCAGGAGTTGGGACTAGGGGTGTGGAATAGAGGTGAGGAAGAGTTGGGACAAGGGGTACATAATAGAGGTGAGGCGGAGTTGGGACAAGAGGTACGCAATAGAGGTGAGGGGGAGTTGGGACTAGGGGTACCGAATAGAGGTGAGGAGGAGTTGGGACTAGGGGTATGGAATAGTGGTGAGAAGGAGTTAGGACTAGGGGTACGGAATAGAGGGTAGGACGAGTTGGGACTAGGGGTACGAAATAGAGGTTAGGAAGAGTTTAGGACTAGGAGTACGGAATGGAGGTGAGGAGGAGCTAGGTCTAGGGGTATGGAATAGAGGTGAGGAGGAGTTAGGACTAGGGGTAAGTTAGGACTTTAGGCTAGTTAGGACTACATGTTAGTGAGAACTAGTGGTTAATTATGACAACAGGTTAACTAGAACTAGGGGGATGTAGGCCTAGGGGTAAGTTAGGACTTTAGTCTAGTTAGGACTACATGTTAGTGAGTACTAGTGGTTAATTAGGACAACAGGTTGGCTAGAACTAGGGGAGGTAGGATTAGGGGTAAGTTAGGACTTTAGGCTAGTTAGGACTAAATGTAAGTGAGGACTAGTGGCTTATTAGGACTACAGGTTAGCTAGAACTAGGGGGAAGAAGGACTAGGGGTAAGTTAGGACTTTAGGCTAGTAAAGACCACATTTTAGTGAGGACTAGTGGTAATTAGGACTACAGGTTAGCTAGAACTAGGGGAAGTTAGGACTAGGGGTAAGTTAGGACTTAAGGCTAGTTAGGACTACATGTTAGCTAGAATTAAGGGAAGGTAGGACTAGGGATAAGTTAGGATTTAAGACAAGTTAGGACCACATGTAAGTGAGGACTAGTGGTTAATAAGGACTATAGGTTAGCAAGAACTAGGGGAAGTTAGGACTAGGGGTAAGTTAGGACTTAAGGCTAGTTAGGACTACATGATAGCTAGAATTAAGGAAAGGTAGGACTAGGGATAAGTTAGGATTTAAGACAAGTTAGGACCACATGTAAGTGAGGACTAGTGGTTAATAAGGACTATAGGTTAGCAAGAACTAGGGGAAGTTAGGACTAATGGTTAGTTAGGACAACAGATTAGCTAGAACTATGGGAAGTTAGGACTAATGGTTAGTTAGGACTATAGGTTAGCTAGAACTAGGGGTAAGTTAGGACTAATGGTTAGTGAGGACTACAGGTTAGCTAGAACTAGGGGAAGTTAGGACTAATGGTTAGTGAGGACTACAGGTTAGCTATAACTAGGGGAAGTTAGGACTAATGGTTAGTTAGGACTACAGATTAGCTAGATTATTAAGTGCAAGATTATCGGATTCCAGCAATAATTAATTAATAATTCATCGGCCTGACTATTCCTTTGGGTTTGTAACTTATTAAAACATTATTTGGCTGATGAATTATCTATAAGAATAATTTTTTAAAAAACTGTTCCGTACAATAGTCTATAACTTATCATGGGATGGTACCTTCTCTCATGCTCCTTACATTGACATGGAACTAGTAAATAAGCTATTCAACTAACTTTACTAGCTAGACTATTAACTATAAGCACACACGTTTTGAGTCTAGGAATCATTTGAAGTAATTTATATGAATGGTATTTTGTCATAATTTTACAAAATAGTTATTACAAATTCGTTCAACTATGACAAATTCAAACTTATAACAATAAATAATTGATTAAAAAATTCTAATTGTATTCTGATTATTGCATCATTTACATTCTTAAATAAGGGAGGTAATTCTCAAACAGATTAAATATAGCATAAGTGGGACAACCCGTAACAAGTAACAGGAGAGGCAGCATAAAACTTTAAATGATTTTTATAGACATTGTTAGTGTTCATTCAATTTAAAAAAATAAAATAATGTGTTACAGTTTGGTTAATTTCAATTATGGATCGTTTAAAAAATAATAATTCATAAGGGAGGTAACTCTTATAAGCACATGTATAATGAAAATTATTATATAGCTTTATGGATACAGAACAGATATTATCAACTGATAATGTTTACAATTATTCCAAGATAAGTAAAAAATTTCAACAAGAGAAAAAGCTCTTAAATTGAACATAGTATGTAACTTTATCTGATTTATAAGACATTACCATATTAATAATATTTCCTTTTATTCTGCTTAGATGATTTAAACTTTTTTTTTTTTTTAAAGGAGATAACTCTGAAGCACAGGTGTATTAATACAAAGCTTAGATAAACACTGTACTAGTATATAACTTATAACATTTACTGGTTTATAACAGACATTTTCATATTATTAACATTTCCTTTAATTTCACTTCAATAATTTGAACTTTCTCTTCAAAACAAGGGAAATAACTCTTAAGCACAGGTATATTAATATGTATATTATTTAACTGGTAAATAACAGACAGACCTCTACTTATTAACAACATTTCCTTTTATTCTGCTGAGATAATTTTAACTTTTTTTTTAAATAATGGAGATAACTGTGAAGTGTGGGGTTTATTAATATGTATATCATTTATCAGGTTTATAACAATAATTGTAATATTAATAAAAAAAAATAAAAAAATAAAAACAAGGGAGGTAACTAAAGCACGAGGTATATATATATACATTTAACAGGTTAACAACAGACAGTGTAATCCTGTGTTGTCTCTCCTGTATCTCTAACCATCTTTAAAGTTGTCTACATGTTGCTAGGAGATATGTACATCATCGGTACACGACCATTTGTCAGAGTTTCTATATCTGTGGGAGTGGGTGTTCCACTCCAGTGTCCCACAGTATCCAAACATTGAGGATACGATCGATGTTCACAAGGTTTTATTTGTCAGACTTGTTTCTGCACTATTGTCAATATATATAATGTGGTATACTTCAAACTTCTTATGATAAATGTTACACAGGAGATAAATATTTTACTTCAAATTAAGTCAACGATATGTATATGATTTATATGGTGTTTAAACAACTCAAAACTTAAATTATTAACAAAATTTCAAGTGTCAATTGTAGGTTGAATGTTTTAAGGTGTTATTGGTTATTTATTTCTGCTTATTTTCAATATTTACTTCCATTTTTATTTTCTCCAGAAAAAAGTATATTCCCTTTTAATTTTCTTCTAGCCAAGTTTTGCTGTTATATTGCAGCTTAATCATCATTTATAAGCATAATCGTGGACAGTCCACTTGAAGTGTTCTCCATGATTCATCTTTTCTTTTATTTGTAGATTTTTAATCTGATTTTCCCCATTGCAATTGTATCCCAATAATCTCTTATTTTTGTCGATTTTTGTCGATTTTCTGGTCCTGATCACAGGGACCTGAGAACTTGTTCAAGTCAGCTTTAGTATGTTTGGACCTAAGCTAAGGTGTTTAGATCAGTTATTTTACACGTCTTGGCGGTTAAGATCAATTTTCGGTAAAATTGCCACCCCCAATGATGATAAAATGTGAGAACGTATAAATACCTCGTAAAGCCTTAGCCTCGCTTAAATATAGCTGAAACAAATTCTCAGGTCCCTGTGGTCCTGACAGGTGTGTTTTTTCACATTTCCACTGGAAAATACAAGTAAATACTCAGATAAGTTTGAGGTCGTAGAAATAGCTAATGCTTTAACATGCGATTTTAAATAGTAATATTTTAGTTTGTAGTGGTTTCTTACCCGCTAATTCCGCCGACGGGACAAACAGATTTTCACTGTGAAATCTGCCATCGTTCCGTGCGCAACACGTCGCGCTTTTTCGGAGTAATTATAAAAAACGGCGCGGCTACGGTCAACGAAAATCCGATTACATTCTATCAACGCAACAATGCATTGTTAAGGTATTAATGAAGTCGGCAGAAATTTTACCCACTCATTTGAAAATGATTTTTTTTTTTAAATAATTTAATCTAAATTGATTGTTTCTGAATCATATAATGTCAATCAATGGGAAAAATATAATGCGCTCGCAAATGAACCGGCTCCGAGCACAGGGACCTGAGAATTTGTTACAGCTGTACATGTACATTGTACTTAGACATAAACTAAAGTGTTCAGAGAAATTTTATACGTTTCAGGGTTTAGGTCAACTTTCTGTAAAAATGCCACCACCAATTATGGTATATATTAAAACGTGTATAATTACCCTAAGCACCTTTGTTAAGGCCCAAATATAGTTGTAAAAAATTATCAGGTATCTGTGGTTCCGAGTGTCATTTGAACCTAATACCATACTAACATTACAACAGGTTTATTCGGTTGGCCTCATTTTATTTGTCGACACATAATCGAAATATTTTCATGTCATTTCAGGGACGCATATAAGGCGAGAACACTCGCACGTGTACGTTTCTGCCGTTTTGTACATTCTGTATAAAAAATTATATCAATCATTGATATTAATTCATCAACAACTTAAAAATATGTATCCATAGCAACCGACATTTTCATGCATTTCAGGGTGAATGTATTTCGTGTTAATAGTTCAACTTTCGGATGAGAAATCATATATTTCTATTGTCTTGTATATATTTCTATTGTCTTGTATATATTTCTATTGTCTTGTATATATTTCTATTGTCTTGTATATATTTCCGTGGAATGAATTGTTAGTTTTAACATTATTACTTATTTAGTATAAAAAACGATACAAAACAACAATTGCTGTCGTACTTCATTACTTATAAATGAACGAATAACCCATTTCGTTTTACTATTTGGAACAGATATATAGTAATTACATTTTTACAATACTTTGACTTGAATTGCGATCAGTGAACTAGAATAGATATATGAATAGTAATAAATGAAAATTAAACTGATGTCAAGCTTTAGACATTAAACTGATGTCAAGCTTTAGACATTAAACAAAATCAAACATAACATGGAAATCTATTTCAAAAGTAAACACAAAGTATAAATTAAGTTTCTGAAATAACGGATGACTAAACATAATAAAAACTAAAAATTCAAGAAATATATATTTATTAATGATAAGAAAATATTAAGAAATATTGTTTAGATTTCAATAGATAATAGGACATATGCATATATACATTGTCTTGTATCGTACATAAAATCCTGCTTTGGGTTTTGTGATGATGAAAACATGAGCCATTCTTTTTCTGAGTGCTAAAAAACACCAAAAAACAACAAAAAAACACAGCAAAGTTATCGTACTTTTTGTTCTGCACATATTTAATTAAAAATGAATTACACCTTTTTATTTTAAGATTGATTACCTAAAACGTTTTGAGAATAATTATTAATTAAATACGTTAGCTGTGAGCGAGGTTCCGAGTGAAACAAGAGGCATTCTAACGATTCATCAATAATCACACAATCATCAATACACGTGAATTCTAAGTTTCCTTTCTGTTATGCTGCTACATTTCATAGATAGTCGAGCCGCGCTGTAGGTAGCGCATTCCCCTTTCATCGAGACGACCAGGGTTCGATTCCCTGATGTGAAAAGGTATTGGGTTAAAATTCATTGATGCTTGTGTGATTATTGATGAATCGTTAGAATGCCTCTTGTTTCACTCGGAACCTCGCTCACAGCTAACGTATTTAATTAATAGTTATTCTCAAAACGTTTTAGGTAATAAATCTTAAAATAGAAAGGTGTAATTTATCTTAAATCAAATATGTGCAGAACAAAAAGTACGATAGCGTTGTTGTTTTGCATCGGTTTTTTATACTTAATAACTATTAATGTTTGTATATATATGGTAATTTGTCAAAAAAAACTAATACATATTCAAATTCATTCCACGGAAATATAAACAAGATCCGGGTAATCAAGATTCCATGCACGCTCCCTTTCGGGTCAGCAAGAGTGGTTAAACTTTTTTAATAATTGTTGTTAACAAATAAGAGGTAATTTATATAAATATTTGTCAGTCGAATATTTTGGCATTGTAAAGAGATTTTATGATACATTGAGGGAAACTATATTGGATGGATGTGATAAGGATAAAGCTTAGGGGTACGCAAGGCGGCAAAGGAATCGCAATGTGCAGGTATAGAGCGCTGGTTATGGTAAGGCTCGTTTGACACCCAACTCTATAAAAATAAAATATTTAATTGGATTTTTAAATAACAGATTTAAACAAAAATGAATACTTCCCCGACACTTTTGCAAAATATTCACTTGTGTTTCACCATGGTTACCATGGTAGCAAAATGAAATTTGCATGATTGTTTTTGTTAATTTGAATACACAGTCAATTCTTTCAATGCTTGGCATATCTTTTCTCATAGACCCTATAGAACACAGGCTTGAACAAACTTAATAACAAAGAAGATTGTGAGGTATTGGCAATAAATATTTAGGAGAAATATACAGATCGTTTAAGAATGTTTCTCATGGTTGCCAAGTAAAAAAACAATGCAAAACTTACACGACTTAATTGAATGTTAACATGTTGCTAAGTTATGCGAATTTCAACTAATTATCCCATGGCAACCATAATTGAAAACACAAAGAAATATTTTTCATTGTAGTATCGGGGAAATATCAAAAATATGAAGAAAAAGACAGTGACGTACATTGTCCGATGAGTTTAGATTGTACGTTTTGTTCCACTAGGATGTAGATTGAATTTTTTTCGAAGATTGTGTAGAAATGTTGGTGACGGATTCTAAAAAAGGGCAGTCTAGTTACTTTAAACATATTTATTGCCAATAAAATTGAACAAGGGATTGGGCACAAGTTATTACAACTTATCACAGCCTTTTCCCGTCATACATTTACAATTACCAACAACGATAATAGATATAACTATGAAGTAGATAAATATGATATCCACACAGGTACAATAATATTCACACAGGTACAATACACAACTTTGAAAAAAAATACGTTCAAAATCTAGGATTGCCTAAAAGGATTGCATAGACTTATTGAGTTCTGGACTTTTTTAATAAATATTTTTTTCTTTTGGCAATTTGTTAACAATATATTATTTTATTCTTTTGCCTTTTCCCCCAATGCTAGAGTTTTTCGGTTATATAGCATAACATTAAAAATTGACAACAAAAAAATAATGACGTCGTAGAGCGCATTAATGTTTGGCGCGGTATTTGTGTTCCTAACTTTTTATTCGTTTAAGTTGCCTGGCGATGAAATTACAGCACAATGTTGTGTTATGTGCAACAGTCTAATGTTTTATCAGAAATGAATAAAAAAATGAATTACTATAAATTGAAATATGTCTTCTGTACTTCTTTATTAAATATTAAGAAATCTATTGTTATTGTTTGGGTTATACGGTATAACAATTGGGTGCACATTTGTGCATAAACTGCATCGCGTATTTAGTCGACACTGATTTTTCGTTATAAACCGTATAACTCCAAATAAATCATGATTATTCCTGAAGCAAACATATAAAACCCACGAGCTTCTACAGCAACTTATGACATAATACACGAAAATATACATGTACAAACTTATACGAAGACATACGAAGCTACACGAAAACCTACGAACTTCTACAAAATGTTATACGAAACGATACCAAAGACATACGAAAATATACGAACAAGTACTAACAGTTTAAAGAAAATATACCAAAAACATATGGCAACATACGAAAATATGCGAAAAGTCACGAATACACACATTTGAAAACACAAGAAAATGAAAGAAATGCACTGCATGGCATCACAATATAACAACTTTCTTGTTTTATTAGACGCCTGATTTACAGGATCAATATCTACCTAATCCAGTGTTTGATAAATGGAAGGTGGTGGAAGGTGTTAATAAGATAAACCACTTTGTTCCTTGTTTTTTTCCGCCGTTCTTTGGCAATAAATCCTTCATTAACTGACGAAAATACAATAAATTGTCTAGAAATAAACGTGAAGAAAAGAAAGAAAACCTTATGAAACGGAAGGGTATCAAAGTGGTCTATAATAGCTCTACATTACGGTTAGAATTACTTTGGTTAATATAATAAGAACGTGTCTTTTCTCTAATTTTTATGTTCGCCCCGGAAGTGGGTCGGGCTTTAAGACAAGAACCGGAATCTAAAGAAGTAATTATAAAATGGGAGAATATTCTAAATATATGTTCACATAATTTGTACACATACCCTAAACGTCTCCACTGACATTAGAGGGCTTGCCAGTAGAAAAATAAACATCTTGATTCTTCTTATACATTATCAAAATGGCCATTTTACAGATTATTTACAAATTACACTTGTGTCGAATGTGTAACTTAATTTAAAGATTAGCAAATGCATGCCTTGCGGGGCTCCTACAGGGGGAGCAATACATGCCTTGCGGGGCTCATACAGGGGGAGCAATACATGCCTTGCGGGGATCCTACAGGGGGGAGCAATGCATGCCTTGCGGGGCTCATACAGGGGGAGCAATACATGCCTTGCGAGGCTCCTACAGGGGGAGCAATACATGGCTCGCGGGGCTCCTACAGGGGGAGCAATACATGTCTTGCGGGGCTCCTACAGGGGGATCAATACATGCCTTGCGGGACTCCTACCAGGGGAGCAATCCATGCATTGCGGGGCTCCTACAGGGGGGGCAATACATGCCTT